TCCGTCGTCTCCTCACTCACTCACTGTTGCCATCGCACAGCCGGCCGACCCGAAAGGTAAATTAAACTCTTTTTTATTCTTTACATTAGTCCTGCAACTCATTTTTATGTTTTTTGTTCCTTAAGGGTAATGTAACATGTTTGTATTAGAGGTACTTAACGAAATAACCCTGTATTATACATTTGTATTGAATTGTAGCTTGAATCTGGGGGCCTGGAACAAATTAGGGCATTTCAATGTTAAATTTGCTTCTACTTACGAAATTTTCTACTTACAAAATGGCTGTCGGAATGAATTAATTTCGTAAGTAGAGGTACCACTGTATTGCTATTAAAATATGAATAAACTTTTAAAAAAACAGTATAAAAGAGACTGTTTTCTTCCAGGTTTCTAGAGATTCTGGGGATATGGGAGCACCTATAATATCCAGTATCTTCATGTAGAATCAGACATGGTTAATTGAACAGTCCATGGTTTTACAGGTGGGCAGCTTTACTAGAAATATTTAAATGTCATTTTTTTGCCCACCAGGGGTCTCAAAAACGATAATTTTAAATAATAAAATGATTCAATAAAATTACAAAAAACAAAACAAAATTCTGTAACATCCTACTCTAACTCTTCTGTTCACTTTTAAACATTCTGAAAAGCAGCTGTAAACTGTAACTTTGGCAACTGAAAATCTATTATTTGAGTTTCTTTCAGGGCACTTAAAAATGCATAACAATTTCTGGACTGTCTATTATTAATTTCTGAATTCATAATTAAAATAAAGGGTATTGATACCATATAGTCTGGTAGTGATGTGTTTATAGAGGAGTATAGTAGTTTGAGTGTTGGACCATGACTCTGGAGATCAGGGTTTGAATTCCCACTGGGTGACCTTGGCAAGTCACACACTCTCAACCTCAGGAAGACAAAGGTGAACCTCCTCTGAACAAATCATGCCAAGAAACCCCAGTGATGGCTTAACATTTTGTTGTTGTGTACCTTCAAGTTGTTTCTGACTTATGGTGACCCTAAGGAAACTTACCATGTGGTTTTCTTGGCAAGTGTCTTCAGAAGGCATTTGTCATTGCCCTCTTCTGAGGCTGAGAGAGTGTCACTTATCCAGGTTTCCTGGCCAAGAGAGTATTCGAACCCTGTTTTCCAGAGTCACAGTCCAATGCTCAAACCACTACACCATTCTGGTTCTCAGAGGTCTCCATAAA